TAACTTTAGCTCTTGATGCGTCCATTCTATTGGAGAATCCAACAAAATCAAACAGGATAGTGTGGGATGGTTTTTTATATTATGATGAACTAATTATGTAGTAAAAAAAAGAAAAGAAAAAAACGTTGTGGTAGCAAGGCCATGTGCAAGGGTTAGGGCTAATTCAAGGTTAGATACAAAAAGGATAGAGTGGGATGGTTTTTTTGCAAGCCTCAATTCGGATTCGATTTTTACACCTTCCATCCTCATTTTTATCATTTGGTAAATTTATCAAGGTGGGATGGTATGACTTTGATCTGAAGCGGATTTTAACTCGTACTTGAAAATATCAAGGGAAACATGTCCATTTCATCAACACTAATTTTTTTATATAAAAAAATCATCTATATAAAATCAGATAAAATTTGAGCTCAATAAATTTTATATAAAAAAAATTATGTTAATTGTTTTAAATTCAAACTATTTAACTTCAAATTTTATTTTTATTTAGGTATTATTTAAAAAAAGTTGAAAAAAATCAAATGTGAAGTCATTTGTGATAACATGTATGTTATGTTTACAAATTTGAATTAAATTCAAAGTTTAATGAAAGCTCTCTTTCCTTATTACAAGTCATCATTAGGTCATTGACTTCTAAACGTTAACCAGGTAGAATTAATTCATAATTGAAGGGGTTAAATCTCTAATTAGTTCAACTCACTAATGAATCTAACAAGACAACCCATCAACTCATTTGTCGGGATAGTATTAATTTTCTTTATAAACTATAATGATTCAATTGATGAAAATAAGAAATTCCTTTTTAGAAAAAAAAATGATGTAGATACAGACTTCCAATCAAATGAAAGAAACGACAATGCACTTGATTAAAAATTCATATTAGAGATATATTTTATGTTATAAATATTATTTATTTATATTATAAATTTTGATATATATTGTCAAATAGATAAAATTTGATATATTTATATATTTATGCCATGTTAATGTTTTTATATTATAATTATTTTTAATAATTTAACCGTGTCTTGCAAAGTTAATCAATAGAAGGATATCTCCTCATTTTTAGAATCAAGTTCAAGTGTTATCTTTATTTGCTTTCAATGACATGTTTTAGAATTTCAATTGGTATCCACTTAAAAGTGCAATAGAATTTTCTTTCAAATTCATGATTATGGGTTGGAAAGACGATGGTAGCTAAGGTGTAAGATGCCAACAAATGCTAGAAAAATATTTATGATTGCTCATGTTATCTGTGAGTCCAAATTAATTAGAACCTTGAGTGAAATGTTGATCTTAATAATGTAGATCACCTTTTAATTGTCCCCAATTCATGCAACAACCATTAACCAAATATCATATTGTCTTTCATAATATAAGATTTTAGAACAATATTATCTTATTTAGTTTTATAATATTGCCTGATAGTGTTAATGTAAAATTATCAATAGTAATACTTTGAGAATATATGGATAAGATCATTATTCCATATTTCTTAGTTAACGAGAATGTTTCATTTTGAACATTTTTGTTGTTGATAATCTTGCATTAACATTAACACTATCGGGTGGAAGATATAGTATTAACCAGACATAGTATTAGTGTTAAGATTATCAATAGTAATTCTTGTTCGACCTGGTCTAAATATAATTTAAATGAATTAAAGATATATTTATTCAAATTTAATTATAAAAATAGACGTAATGCTAATGCTTTTGTTTACCTCTAATTAATCCACCAATGCCTACTTCAAAATGGGAAGACCTTAGTTATAACCAAGATTAAAATAGAACTAATACATGTTCAAATACTAATGAATGAAGAGGGTCACAATCTAAAACAACCCAACATTTACCTCAAATTCAAACGGTTTCATTATGCAAAAACTATCAATGATGAATCTGTAACCATATGCGAAACCTAACTTACTCTTTGCTTTTGGAATTGTAAGCAACCATCCAAATCTTATCAGTTTTCCTTATTTCATGATGCACATATCTTCTAACAGCTCCCTTGAATTTATGGTAACAACAAATACTGAACAAAGAGTAACCTTAACCCACGTGATTTGACACAATGGTTATCTTCTCGACTTTGCAGTCGGTGTAATAGTGACGTTATTCATTCATGGTAATCTAATCCGAATCGTGACCGATTATAAGAATAATATTCTAGAAGTGAACCCCCACATGGTAGAATTTCGAAGTTGCAATCTATTCCCATTCCCACCTTTCCTTTTGAAGTCAGCTTATCATTACAACATTGACAACACTTTTCACCCTCATCATTACAACATTGACTACACTTTTCACCCTTGTCCTACGCTCTATTTGTCTGCTCACAAACTTGAAATTTAGAGCTTCAATGTCAGCATAAGAGAGGGTTTCCCAGTCTTTGTTCTTTTGTCCTTCATCTTTCACTAGTTGAAACAAATAATGCAAGTTGCGGCCGGGAGACTGCTTTTTCCACCATGCCTATAGCTTTTATAATCATAAATGTTGTCCCATTTGTCAGCTCATCTCAACAACATTTGGAATCCATTGGCAGCCCTACAAACAATGAAGAAAACATTCTTAAGGTAGTACTGTATATTCATGCTCTTAACTTATAGGCTTTCTTTTAATGGAGTTTAATCCTCTCTGAAATCACCATGTCTGGTGCTTTATTCTTAATATTTCTAGTTGTTGTGTTTACACAGGTGAGTCGCAAAGTGATGTTTGAGATTACAGTACATGGAATCATCCTTTGGGCATCAATGGGGTTTCTGGTACCTGTTGGGATACTTGCTATCCGAATGTCAACAAATAGAGAGAATGTGGGAAAAGACAGAAAGTTCTTTTCTATGTTCATGCAGTTTCACAGGCAAGCTTAGTTTGGATAACCCTTTTAACTTCTATAATCATAACAATAAAGAAATAAGATGTTTCCTAGTTTCACAATAATATACAGTACAATGATTGTGGTGGCCTTATCATATATCATGTATTGAACAGTTAATTTATGTTTTGCAGATACTTTCTGTACTTATGGTCACAGCAGGAGCACTCATGTCCATCAAAAACTTTAATAACTCATTCAACAATTATCACCAAAGACTAGGGGTAGCTATATATGGTATCATATGGGTGCAAGCTTTGACCGCCGCTCTACGTTCATTCAGGTAAACCAATATATATATATATGACTCAGGGCCCAATTGATTACTTAGTCACTGGTAAACCTTGAGATATAATATGGTGTTTTGTGTACAGGGGATCCAAGGCAAGAAGTGCATGGTTTTTTACACATTGGTTAGTAGGAACCGCGGTGTGTATTTTAGGTGTAATCAACATTTACACTGGACTGGGAGCCTTGCATGAAAAGACAATCGGCAAGCACAAAACTTTGGACCATAATTTGACTGCACAGATCTGTTTGATGGTTTTCATTTATCTGTTTCAAGACAAATGGTTGCAGTTACAGTTGCAAAAACAAGAAGAACCGGTTCCCCGCCGTGAACCTGTAAGACCCTACCCCTACAGAACAAGACAATACGCAGCAGGAATCAACTACTGAGAAATCAAATTCGTTTAATCATTATTTTCCTATACATGGATTATCATCATTCATATGGGTAGGATTACTTATGAATTATGTAAATCAAACGATGATATTAAACTTGTATTAGGTATTGATGAATAATAAAACAAGGGAGGGTGTTTTTTCTCTTCTTTCTATTCCTATACCCTACATTTTTACTGGACATGGTGAAATTTTAACCAATTAGTAAATAATATTATCAAAACACCTTCTTTTCCTTATCGAAGTCATGAATTAAAAGCAACATGTAGAGCTAGCGATCAACATGAAAGGTGAAAAAGATAAAGGTACGTATTAGAGTTCCGTTTGTTTTATTGGAAATATATTTTTAAAATATAATATTTGTAAATATTTGAAAGATTATGTGTAAAACATATTCTTTAACGATTTTATTAATAATCATTTCCTATACAAAAAATTTAGTAAAACAAACGCAATATAAATGTTTTCCTAGTTGAAGATTTTTAAACCGAGGTTAAAAATTTTAGGCTTGATGCAAAAATAAGTATTATACTCTAAGTTAACATCAAGTGTGTAAAAAAATTTTCGTTAAAAATAAATGTCTAATGTTTTCTCCATTACACTTTTAAGTGCCAAACGTTCTTTCTGTTACACTTTTAGATGCCAATACAGTAACAACCATTTAAAAAAGTTAAATAACACGTGTCATGTTTATATTTTGGCTTAATACAAAAATAAGTGTCCAAACTATATATTAAGTTAACTTTTGGTGTCTAAAGAATTTAATTTTTTTATCATACTAGATCAATTAGTTATTGGTTAACATTTAATATTTTATTTGAGTTAAATAATAAATTTTTTTAAATATAAATAGTTAATTATTTATATTATTTATCCTAATTAAAAAATAATTAGTTAAAATTCATTGAATGATCTCAGTAATAAAAGAAAATGTTATTCTTCATCTCAAATTCTAACATTGTATTTATAAATATTATGCATTATTAATGACTAAGAGTTATAAATAAATATTACTTTATAATCATCAAAATATTAAAAAAACTGTGTTTAATTGAACATTGGGTTAACACTTCCAAAAATTATACATTGGTTTTTCAGTTTCAATTATGCGGTGAAATTTCAGAAATTTGTTTTAAAAAATTTTGTACTATTTAGTTCTGTAATTAAAATAATAAAAGGAGATTGAATCATAGTTGGACCCGGGCCATGAAGGCCATACATAAATTAAACCGACTTGATCTGAAAATTAATTTGACCTAACTCGCTTTATCATACATTCGAATTAAATTTAAATCAGATCCAATCCGGTTCGTATAAAATTAAATTGAATATAATCTAGACTCAAAATAACTCAAATCTAATCTGATTAGTCACATTTAGTTATATAAAATAATAAAAAGAGATTGAGTTATAGTTGGACCCAGCCCGGCCCATGAAGGGCATAGATAAATTGAGGAAATTAAAGAAGAAAACATTATCGGGAGGCAGTGGTAGAAGAGAGAAGATGGATGGGGTGTCGCAGTTAGGCCTTCCAGTGCTGGGAATCGTAGCTGCTGCTGCTCTCACCTTTTATGTCGTTAGCTTTTCTGAGCTAAGAGAGGTTTTATTTTCCTTCTTTTTGATTCTTTACCACTTTCATAATGCATGTTTTCTGTTTGCATAATGGCCTTTTGCTGGTAAATATGCAGAAATCATTTAGAGATTTGGAAGATTCAGAGAATGAAAATGGAGGATTCGATTCTTACGTAAGCTCTAGGAAAAGGCGTGCAATAAGAAAAGCAGAGAAGAAGTCCAAAACTTGACTACCCTCTGCTTTTGCTTTCTTTTCTACACTTGTGGAATTCAACCATGCCTCTTTTCTTTATAATATGTAAGCTATAGTTCTATGCTTTTTTTTTTTTTTGGGCATAATCATGTACGTAGCTAGAGATCTTCACCAGCACCACCAAAGCCACTGTACAAGCATCGTAATTTATAAAAGAGTTAATTGAAAAATAAGTATTTTAATTATACATATTATTGTTTTAGGTGTTTACAGTTGTTTTTTTAACAAAGTAAATGACCTCGTCGTTAACACACCCTTGTTTCGTTCACCCACGTTTTTCCCTCTCACCGTCGTCGACCATGCACCCATCATGAAACCAACATGACCGTCCTTCTCTTTCTCCCCTTTTCACTACTGATTAGGGGTAAGGGTTCGAGTTGAATTGAATCAAAAATTTTTATCCTATTTTATATCCCAAACTTGATTTCTGTTTAAATTTAATTGTAAATATTTATAATATTATGATACTATTTGATTCTAATTTAAACGGGTTTTATAATAATGTACAATACATATATATGTTTATTCGTATCTTTTTCATATGTGATTTATTAATATCATATAGAGTCGAGTCTCTCGACTCAAACTTAAAAATTAATTAATCGATTACTAAAATTTAGAGTTATTCGAGTTGTATTTTATAACTTGACTTGAACTTGAAATTTTTTCAAAGCGAATCAAATTTTATGAAATTACAACTCGAAGTTAATTTGAGTTATTTTTTCGAATCTATTTTAATTAAAAAAATTATTTTTTCAAGTCGAATTAAGTTTTGTTCACCTTATCACTAGTAGTCGTTAAACCTGCATCATTTACATTAAAGCCGTAGGTGATGGGTAATTTTAACAAAAATAGATGTGATGGGTAATTTTAACAAAAATAGATGTGATTTGGATATTTAGGGATAAGGACTAAAGATTTAGGGGTTTAGATTTTATGAATTAAAGTTTTATAATATTTTTTAGATGTTTTGTGAAAAATAAGAAAATCTAAAGATATTATTTTTCTTTTTGAAAATTTATGAATTTTTATTTGTTAAAAGATAAAAATTTAAAAAAAAAAGTTAAAAAATTAGACTACATATCAAACACAAAATTTACCCTATATTCAAATGGACTTGAACTCTTGACATCAAATTTATCCGACCCATGAATACTTCTATCATTTTTCTTTTTCGCTGGTTTAGTAATTAATCACAACAAACCAAATGCAGTTGAAAAACAAGAAACAAAGTATGAGCTTTTATTAAGGCACCAAACATCAATACAGTTATGAGTATGGACTTTATGAATATCATAAGAATCCACAGCTACGACCTCTATTTACTTATGACTCATCGAAATAGCTTTCATTTCACATGAAGCATCATTCTAATTTTCACCATCATCGACTGTTCACTGTTTCTTCTGCTGGGACTTGAGTTCCTTCACCTTCTCCTCCGTAGCCTTCAACGCATTCCCGTATTTGCTTATAACTGCAGAGAGTAAGGAGTCCATGATTATTATATTACACTCTGCTTAACAACAGCTATGTCAACCAAGTCCAAGTCAAACAAAGGAATAGCGAGTTTTTGGTTATTATCATCGTTTTTCTGGTTTCTGCTCCCTTCACCATCATACTTGCTACAATCACGATAAACGTGACACGACCGAAAACCCATCTTGTGAAATCATGCCGGAGGAGAATCGCTAGAACATACTCGAAAATTTATAGATGATTCAGAAGATAACTTACTTCATCGACCTCTTGAGGAGTAATTATAAGGTGGAGACAGATTATGTTGTCCCTGAAACACGTACTAGCAACCCTTGCTTCGCATTGTGCTCCGAAATATGCACCAACTCCTATGGAGGAAATCATCAAAAAGTTGTTGGTAGAAGTAACAAAATATAAAAAGCTATCGCACTTGATTGCCTTTATATAAAACAAGCAACTCAAGTCCCTATTGTGCGGACAGATGATTAGAGAAATAGCAAGTAGAAAGCGAAACCTACCCCATTCAGGAGGGAACGGATCATTAGGTGACTTGTTGTCTGTAAACTCAGTACCAAGAATCAAGCCAGTGCCTCTGATCTGCAGAATCAGATAAGGTAATGATTTCATGTCTCGTTCTTACTAAATACTGACTGCATAAAATGGATGCCTCAATGCGAAACGCACCTCTCCAACGATAGGACTGTCGGAAAAGGATTTCAGACCATCTTGAAACCTTGGTGAAATGCTCTTCACTTTCTCAACAATGTTTCTCTCCCTGCGAGGAATTCAACTGCTCCATGAAATAACAGCTATAGAGAAATTTTCTGTTTGCAGTCTAGACATTTAGAATTATATTTTTTTTTATTTCAAGGCAGGATAGAAACACACTTGTAAAGCTTGAGCGCTTCAATTGCGACCGCACAGGATACAGGGTGCCCGGAGTAGGTGAATCCATGAGAGAAGAACCTGAAAGAGGAAATTAGACGAGGAACTGAGAAAATGAATATGCATACATCTAATGAGTAATATTTCATACCAAGTTTGTTGCTTTGAGATAAATGACTTCAGAAACTTCAGGGCTCACCATGACTGCTCCGATGGGCATATAAGCCGAAGAAAAGGGCCTGCAGAACACAATACCGGAATTAATATGCTAAAAGATGAGAATTATGTCACGGCTGAAACCTATTTTATACTTGAATATTTATACAGCTTCACCTTTGCTAGTGAAACAAGATCTGGTTTAATATTGTACTTGTCACACCCAAACATTGTCCCAAGCCTTCAAATGCACAATAACCTAAATCAAGAAACAAAGTGCTTAAGAACAAAGAACTGGAAGATTTCTAAAAACATTGATGGAATATCAATATGGACACAGAGATAGCCGAGTACCTCATCTGCGATAAAAAGTATGTCGTATTTTTTCACAACAGCTTGTACCGCATGATATTTGAAATACTACATCAGTGAAAACTGCAGAAAATTTACGAAAGAAAAAAAATTCTGTGACTTATAAATGCTTTTGTACGCATCAAACTATAATTAGCTATTAAATGCTCACCTTCTCAAAATAAGTAGCAGGAGGAGGTATAACACCTCCAGCTCCCATCACAGGCTCAGCGATAATGCAGCAATCTAAGATAAACAAACTTGCTAGGTCAGCTATACAAACAAACCCCTTCAAGTTTGCAAAAGGATTCTCATTTCATGTTTAAAGCATATTAGCTGACATTACCGTCTCTGGACCATCTTTAAGAATAAGATTCTCCAAATTGTTGGCTAATCTGGTTGAACCCTCTTCCGTCTCACTGAGATGTGAATAAAGATGACTATCATTTTGAATGTTCAAAAGTATATGTCAGAAAATATTTGTAAAAGTGAAAACCTTCTAGATGATAGCGCCAATAATGAGGGCAGTCAGTGTGCAACACGAATGGGGCTGGAAGGTCAAACTTTTGATGTAAAGCCGGAAGTCTGTAATGACAATCTAATTGTTAAGAACTCGATTTCAAGCAACTAAGTATAAACATTTGACAAATAAAGCAAACTTTACCCAGAAAGACAGCTGATATCAAAGTTGAACCATGGTATCTGTAGATATTTAGAGAAAGAGAAAGAATGGTAAGTCTTCAAGAATAGCACATAGAGAAGCACCGAAGAACAATTTAGATTGAGTAGTTGAATTTTACGATTTTGCACGGGCAATAAATTTCTTCTTATTTGGTCGTCCAAGCGCATTATTATAATACCAAACAAGCTTCACCTACACATAAATAATGCAGAAAGTCAAACATCCGGAAGCACCAAGTTCACCACTTTTTCAGTTTACACCAATCATCTAGATATGCCCATCACTGATATGAATGCATGCAAAGACAATTTAAAATACTAATAACATAATAAAGAAACCTGAGTATCGTTTGCTTCAGATCCACTGTTTGTAAAGAAGACTTTTGCCATTTTGCTTGCCGTAAAAGTTTCAAGAAGATCCTTAGCAAGATCCTGTAAGATCAATATTTTCTCTTTAAATTAGTTTGTAATGGAAAAACACAAATGCAATATGAACAATATGTATTATGCTGAACACAAAATAACCTAATAAGAAAGAATGATTCTAAGAGAAAAAACATGCATTGGATGGATTGAAACCATGGGATTAAGAACATTGATGAATACCAGTGAAGGTTTTGTAGTACGATTCCAAATGAATGGTAAAATGGCAATTTATTCAATTGAGCAACTGCAGCTTCAACAAGTCGGGGCTCATTTCCTCCTGCAAAATTAAGTAAACATAAGGTACTTTATGAAATTCTTCTCCTATAAAATCATAGCATTTAGGCTAATTTCCTTCTGTTGATTAAAAACGCATGGTAAACAGGAAGACGCAGTGGCCATTTAGAGAAGGCCTAGCACTAATTTAACATTAATACCTAACGCGGTACACCATAAACCAGCAAGAGAATCCAGATACTTTTCCCATGGACATCATAACATAGCTTCCCTGTGCAAGATTAATTTTACATTGTCATTACAGCAAGAACAAATAGGAGCTTCAGAAAAAGATGAAAAACCACTTCTTGAGGTGAGTTCAATTTTAAATAAGTAAAAGAAAGACACCTTAGACTCATACCTCGGACCTTTCATAACAGGGGGTTTAAGTCAGTGGTCTGCCACCCTGCGGTAAATGGAGCCAGCATATCATGCCCCTTAAACCTGACATAAAGGGGATACATATATACATACCCCATATGCATCAATATAGTATGCACCTTCAAATATAAACTGTCAGACATTAAATGCATTTACTTGAAATATAAATAATAATGAAGTTATATCACAAGATTTCGTTTCTATATGCATAAATTAAGGGTATCCACCATATGAGAAACACCACGGGCAGGGGAGGGACAGAACTATATGAGATGAACATGAACAAAGGTTTGAATATCGAGTAAGCATACCCTGTAACATCCTTGAAATCAGAATCTTCTTTCTGCAAAGATGGTTCAGTACTATATAACCTTGCCAGCAATGCACCCTTAAGTGGGCGGTCCATGGAATTTCTGTATGCAGCAGCATTTTTTATGTATGAACCAAGCTGTAATTGGGAAGGGAGAACAAAAATGAATAATATGTTGAGAAATCAATACAAAAGAAGAAGAAAAAACATGTGGTGCTGCTCCACTAAATTTTGGTATATGATTATATCT